GCATTTTTTTGCCTTTTGTTCTTTATCTAAAGCACAAAGCAATCCACCCACTCTTATTTTATTTCTCCTTTTTATTGATGTGTTAACCATATTCACTATTTCAAAAACAATCGTCTCAACACTTCTTTTTTCTTTTTATGATAGTCTTTTTTTTATTTCGAATAATCGATCACAAAAGCCTTTTTTGATCAGTTCCAATCAGATGGAAGCGTAGGAAAATTTGAAATTCACATTATTGAAGTGCATATAAAATCATCCAAAGTATTTGTATTCACTTAAAAGACTAATATTGATGGTTTATGCATGGACGATTCTTGATTTTGATAAAATAAAACCCAAAGATCGTTCAAATTTCTTTTTTTACTTCTAACCACAAACTCATTTACAGTTTCCTCGTTTTTTACATTGTCGAAGAAATCAGTCAAGAGTTAAGTGAAGTTTCCATAAGCTCATTCTTCTTGTCTCTCACCGTCTAGTTTGGCCGTCTAGCTCCGCTGGAAGCGGTTGAACTCCACCGTTCTCTGCCACCTCTAAAGCCCTATCAGCGGTTTCTAGCCTCGGATTTGCGTTCTCCAAGCGTATAGGACGAAGAAGTCCCTGTAATCTCAGAAAGTAGCTCCGGCTTGGAGATTGGCCTCTTACGTATCGAGCTTCCATTGTTGTTTGAGTGTTTGAGAATTGTTGTTCTGCATCTGTGCTTTGAAGGTTGGATAATGCACTGAGATCAAGGCCTGGAAACACCGAGCAACGGCATCGTGGACATTTTACGTTTAACCGAAGCCATTGATCTATACATTCAACATGGAAATTATGAGCACAAGGTAAACCCCTAACCTGAACAAAAACAGACATTTTTCAGTCATTAATGGACAGTATAGAGACCAGCACAAGCACAAGCAAAAGCATAAGAATTCAATTCACTAGGAATTGGGTTTAGAGTTGAGTTACCTCGTTCCCGACATAGAACTCTTCTAAGCAAATAGGACATTCGGTACAATCGGTTGGGACAGCTTTTAACCTGAACTTTGGAAGTTCTTGAATGAGTGCTTCGACTGCTTCTCTCTGTTAAACCCGAAAGAGTCAACCTTTAGAGGGCTCTTTTGATTCTCGACTATCTCATTATATATGAACTACGGTGACTTGCCTGAGCAGGAGTCAAGTAAAGCCCTGGATGATACGTAGCAGCATCTAGGCCCATACTTCTCATCTCTTGTCCTGCAGCTTCGAATGCCCAGTCGGGTACCCTAACCATGTCAACTAGAATCTGGACACAAGGAAACACACATTGACAAAAACCTTGATAAGTCAGATCTCTTACCTAATAAGAAACAGAACCAAACAACGACTATCTAGGGAAAAGATAGGGGAGTGAAGTCGCGAGATCCTGAAAGCTTACACCAAACTCTGAAATGGGAATTCCCTGTTGAGAACGTAATAAATGTGCTCGTCTTCGCGATAACCACTGCTCAAATTCACACACGCATTAAACATGACATCATTATTCAATTAACAAAAGAAGTGATACAAAGATCTATATACCTTTACAATACACATGCAGGCAATGCAAACGAGTCCACAATAGCTGAACAGCAGCCAAATGAGGAAACCCCATTTCTGACCATCTTCAGGTAACTACGGAACACGAGGAATACATAATAAACTCAGAGACCAGATTTGCCTGATAGGGATATAAGTTCTAACCATGTAAAACTACTTACACAGTTTCTCGAGTTTGTAAACCATAGTGATCCAACTACAGTCCAAACCCACAGGAACGGATACAGCAGCAAACCTAAGATAGACAAAACCACCACTCTCCCACAAAACCGGGAATCACGCTGCTGCCTTCCAAAATCCCTAACATAATTCAATTAACAAGAAACAATGTGAAACTACCAACCAAGCTAGATATTCATAAAGCTCATTTACGCATCAAGATAGAGAAATGCGCATCAAAGCTCCTTATGAACAAGCTTGAAATGTTACAAAGAAAATGCGGAGCTTTAGATGGAACTTACAAGGCAAGTCCAGCAGCAAGTCCATTGTCAACAAACATCAAAAGGCGGAAGATAAACACGGTTGTGTAATCGACCTAAACCAAAACAGAAACATAAACAAATCCGAGAGAAATCAAAACAGACTTTATGATTTTCAAGGAATAGAGAAAGCAAGCAAAGAGATAAAAAAACCTACCACAATCCATATATGCAATGGGTTTTGGCAACGACTATACTTGTTCCAATTGATAGCTACAATGATTCTACAAAGTAAAAATCCCATCAAGGAAACACAAAAATCAATAAAATAATTTCTTCCTTTTTTCCTTGTCCTCTGATTCAACACACCCAAAAATGAGAACTTGTATCTACTGAGAATCATTAAATAGCAAAAATACAATAAAAGGTTCGAAATTTAACTAGAAGAATCCATCAACGTCGTGGAATCATTTACAAGATTACGACTTTATAGACTCAAATTTAAAGCTAAAGAATTACAGTTCGAAGAATCTATCAAGCAGAGTTATAAAGGATACACACTAGTCGCAAGCATCGACAAGAAGAACCCATCGTACCTGC